TAAGGATATTCAATCAGCAGGAAACAGATTCTAAGTTTACTACTAATCAAAATGAAGTAAGAAGGGTAATATCATATAATATGTAATTTTTTGTTTTCTGACAAAAGAACGCACACAAAATTCACCTGCAGAGAAAATACCTTTTCTAGAACTAAATTCCAGTAAAGGTTTTATGAATGCTTGAAAACACTGGCAAGTTAGAAACATCATTTTCATCCTTGGTTGTTTATAAATACTGTAAAATGAGAATTTATAAAGGTGTATATATATTCTCTTTCAAAGAAACTTTACATAAATGTGGTTCTTACTCAGTTCATCATCAGAAAATAAGCATCACTATAAAGACTCACCCATTCATCAAAACTAAGACTCTAATTTCTTACTTACCTCCAAACCCCTTCTCCTAAACTTGGTTTCTAAATAAAAAATTAGTACCTTCACTCATTTCTACTTAAAAATTCTTGGCCCTTTCAAGAGGACTTGATTAGATACAGAATTTAAGAAATGGGAATTCCCCATAATGAGTGATCACAATTTAACCCTTGCCTTCTTCAAATAGTAAAGTCAACATCCATAGAAACACTCACCCTGGTCATTGTATCGAGACAGATCGGCCTGGCTGACGTAGAGGTCATGATCACTATCTAGTTCCCAGAATTTACAATAAATAACATAGAAGTGTTCATAGGAGAAATAATCTGTGATTTGGTTTATATCTTCCTCTTCTTCCAAAAGCGCTAGAGTCTGAAATGGTATGAATAGAAGGATTAATTTATTTTAAAAATATGAAGACCCAGCTTTGGCCATTATGCAGATTCTAGTTTTTACTCTAAACTGAATTAAAAATTTTGGTTTTGGTACCAAACCAGGAAATTTAGTAGGCAACCTCATCCTACCTTTTAATCAATTGATCAACCTATATGCATTTACGTGCTCTGTAATATTCTTAGCAAAGACTTAGATGCTACGGAGGATTTAAAAGCAGGGAAAGGGAAGAGCTATCATCAAGGGGACTGCAGCCTATCAGAGGTCCCCAGACTAGCAAGCACAGGACAATCAGACAACAGACTTTTAATTACATGGCCATAAACTCACATTGCTTTTAACTTTTCAAAGTTATGAAGACTGATCTTCTATCTATTCTATTATGAAGAGTGGGCATCCACATGAAGGGTTTGGTTTTGTAATGGCATCAAGTTTACTATAAAGGTGACTTATTTATACCATTGTGATAGTGTGGGAGTAGCCTGGCATAGAAGGCATGGAGGGTAGAGCTGCAGGGCCCTGAGCTGGAAATAAGCCTGTGTCTCCCCTGACTCACTGTGTGCCCCTAGGGAAAACACCAGAAACAGTGATTTTTGAGCCCAGAATTCTTATAATAAGCCAAATTATCATATAAGTGGGCAGATAAATGAAGATGTTTTTAGAAAGAGTCAGAGAAAAGATAAACCATAAGGAAACTTAGGAAATAGAAAAAACAAAGTGAGACGACAGAAATAAAACCAGATATATCAACAGTCACAACAAAGGTAAATGAGTTAAATCTCCCTATTAAAAGATTTTCAGATTGAGAATAAAACCTAAACCCAAAAAGCAGATCTAGGTATATGCTGTCCATAAGAGAGAAGTCTGAAGTAAAATTTAAAAGGAAGGTTAAAACATGTACTAGCTAAATCTTAAAAAGAAAATAAAATGGAATTTTGGATTTCCAGTATTTACATTTTAGAAAATAATTTTTATCAAAGTAACAGTCTTGTATTACGAAATAGTCATCTTTCTTATAATGTTTTTCACCTTGAATTCCAAATTATGGTAAAAGCCACTCAATGAAAGATTTTGCAGCCAGTAAAAATTATAAAGTCTATATAGAAACAAAAGGGAAATCATGACATGGTAAGTGCAAAATACAGGATATAAGATTGTACACATTAAGAACTATATTAAATTCTAAAATCCAAATATGCATACGAATGAGACTAGATGAACACATACTATTAGTTTTATTAGGGTGGTAAAATATGCTTTTTCTTCTGTTTTCCAAACTTGCTTGTAATATTTTTTTTTTATAAAATGCTCTTTAATGTGTATAAAGCAGAATATGTACAATAAAACAAATATCTTGAGAAGCAGGGAGCTCTCATTTTCATCTACTGGACTGTCATAAAATGAAAAAAATGAATAACTTCTGCTGTTGGTGAGTATGTAAATTTAAGTATGAACTAGTGCAGGCATTTAGAAGGGTAACTTGGCAGGATCTATCAAATTAAAAATGCACATGCCATTTGATCCAGGATTTTCCCTCCACTACTCTATTTTAGAGAAATTCTTACTCATATATACACAAGAGGGAAGTATAAGGATGTTCACTGCATTATTTTAATAGGGAACTAATGAAAGCGACTTGAACATCTTCAGTAGAGAAGTATGTAATTACAGTACAGCCATGCCAGATTATGCAACAGTTAAAAGAAAGATAGATTTATATGAATGGAAATGAAAAAACATCAAGACATACTGTTAAGTTAAAAAAAGTTAACAGAATAATAAGTATGGTCTCACATATTAAAAATAATTCAAAAAAGCAACCACACAGAACAAAACTATATACTCCACACATACAATATATACTCTACACACACACACACACACACACACACACACACACACACACACACACACACACACAGAGGAATAAAACCACAGATAATAGGGGTTCCCTCTGGTAAAGGGAGTGAAATGGTAGGGTGAAGAGATAATAATCTCTGCTTATTATTCTATATATGTTATTTGAATATTTTATGAGCATACCTTCATGTACTAAGAGGAAGACTAAGGAGAGGGCTAGGGAAGAAAATAGAGGGAAGCAGAACACTTGAGTTCTATTTCCAGTTCAACCACTTATTTTGCTGTGTGATCTTATCCAAGTCATTCAACCATATGAATTTTATCATCAGTAAAAAAAATATGGATTATAATAATGATCTAGAAATACAAAACTCTAATGTGCTTCAGGAATGTGAGGATTATCATTTTTTAAAAATTAATTAATTATTTTTGGCTGCATCAGGTCTTTGTTGCTGCACGTGGGCTTTCTCTAGTTGTGGGTAGTGGGGGCTACTCTTTGTTGCAGTGTGTGAGCTTCTCTCACTGCAGAGCACAGGGTCTAGGCGTGCGGGCTTCAGTAGTTGTGGCTCACGGGGCTCTAGAGAGCAGGCTCAGTAGTTGTGGTGCACGGGCTTAGTTGCTCTGCGGCATGTGGGATTCTCCCGGACCAGGGCTCAAACCCATGTCCCCTGCATTGGCAGGCAGATTCTTAACCACTGCACCACCAGGGAAGCCCCTCTCATTCTTAAGGTGTAAGGCCTTTTTTTTTAAAAGTATTTATTTATTTATTTTTAACATCTTTATTGGGGTATAATTGCTTTACAATGGTGTTAGTTTCTGCTTTATAACAGAGTGAATCAGTTATATATTTACATATGTTCCCATATCTCTTCCCTCTTTGTCCCCCTCCCTCCCACCCTCCCTATCCCACCCCTCCAGGCAGCCACAAAGCACCGAGCCGGTATCCCTATGCCATGCGGCTGCTTCCCACTGGCTATCTACCTTACGTTTGTTAGTATATATATGTCCATGTCTCTCTCTCGCCCTATCACAGCTCACCCTTCCTCCTCCCCATATCCTCAAGTCTGTTCTCCAGTAGTAGGTCTGTGTCTTTATTCCTGTGTAAGGCCTTTTTAATGGAATTCTTGCCATCTCAACCCATACCACATTACCTCTTGAGAGCCCAGGCAGACACCAGGTGTTCAGTAAATATTAATAATGACCGTGATGATGACTTTTCATTTATTAGAATAAAAAGTGTTTGCATATTTATTATGGATTGCTAATTTTGCCAAGTCTTCATTACTTTGTCTGTCCCAGATGAAGATGGGAAAAACAGAGTGTAAATAAGGTTGTATTATTTGCTTAAGCTTCATTTAGTATGATTTACTTTAAATATTTCATTTCCTTTCAAGTGTGACCAATTCTACTTTCTTCAGGTTAATAGAAGAGCTTGAACAATCAGGCATGAAGATTGCCTCGGTTAAAGGCTCTCACTAGTGGTCAATACTTTCTCATTTGGTAAAATAAATAAAATAATTGAATGAAATGCATTCTTTCTTAAAAGGAATTTTTAGTATTTTTCTCTAGCAGGAGATGGATAAAGAGTCACTGCTAAAAGGAACAAGTTGAAATTCCTCCATTTCTTTTGGAAGGCCCTTCCCAACCTGGCCCTGTCTCACACCTCAGGCCTCATCACTGGTCACTCTCCTTGAAGCCTGTGGCCACTTAAGACTGTTCTGCAGTTCATGAACGGGACACTTTCATGCTTCTGGGCCTTTTTTTATGCTGCTTCCTCTGTCTGGAATCCCCTTTTCTTTTGATTTCTTTATCTTGGTAAACTCCTGATATCTCTAAGGTCAAGATCACATGCCAGTCCTACTGTGAAGCCTTCACTGCATGTTTATGATACATTTCTGTGGAAGTTTTCAAGTCAGGTGTGGCTGTCTGTGCCCTTTTCTCTTTTGTTCCACAGTGCATGCCCTGATGCAAAAATTTCTTGTTTTTCATCTTTGTTCCCCCAACACATTCCAGGTGTCTGATAACTGCTTAATGACTGAAAGTAATGACAGGGCTTTGCACATAATAAGCACTCAAATATTTGTTAAATGAAGTAAGATTATTATTTAAATTGCTCCTTATATATGAATTTCAATGAGAGGCATACTTGCAAAAAGTTGCTTTTTCTTATCTCTGTTGCAGTAATTTTTCCACTCCAAGATCTGTTGACTGTGTAGAATATTCTCTGAATAACCTGGTTCCAAAAGGAAAACAAAACCAAATACAAACATTAAAGATATCTATTACTTTATCAAAGCCCATCTTATGAACATTCTTTGAACCAAGCTAAGTTTTGGCCTTTTGATTATATCAAGTGTAATTTCTAGTAAAAATTAATACTATATTAAAAAAAGTCTATATCCATATAGTTTGCATCTGCCCTTATGATTCTAAGAATAAAAAAATTCTTTGCTCACAAGTCAGCATTTCCCAGGTGCCTACATGTCACTTTCATTTTTACCTCTCATACAGGGATTCAAGTAGTGCTTATTAGGCTAGATGTTTCTGGAAGGCATATGAGGTGGGAAATCTGCACTGGGGTGGCTTAACAATTACTGGGTCAGAAGAATGGCTGCCAACATGGTATGATTCAAGAGGGCATATTCTGGTTATTATAGTCTTATCCATTGGAGTTTTGAAGACTTCTGAACTCTCTCTGGAAACTCAGATACATCTGGGAGAGTTTATATCCCGAGTCCTTATTTAGGCATGAACAGTTTTGTTACTAACTAGTGTTTTAATAAGTTTAACAAAGGTGAAACTCTGGAGAAGACCCTGGACAAGATGGGAGAGAAAGCGGATGGGTAGCAAAGTTGTCTGAAATTGAGGATGTATGTACTGTTGTGTAGGGGAGGACTGGAGAAGGAAGACAGGCTGCAGTCCTGGAGGTAGGAGGCCACAGTGCATTCTTAACAATTTTACCTGGGGTTATTCCCACCCATTTAATTTGCACTTGACCTATTAGGGTTTTTTTCTTTTCTTCTTCGAAAGGAAGCAAGGGTGAGAAGAGCAATTAAGCAGCTTTTTTGGTACTTTGGCTTTAGTTTTGATTAACTAATGATATGGAAATCCTGTATCCTTGGTGGTTTTTATCATAGAAGAGGTTAGATCACCTTTTTAGGCTATTTTAGTCCAAGAAGAACAAAAAAGAGAAGACATTTGGACATCTATCCTAAGAGTAGGCCTAATGAGGAACCAAACCACTATTCTGTTTCTGGATTCCTTATCAAAGAGAGTGATTCCCAAAAATAACAGGAAAAAAGTAGCCTCAGGATGAAGGTCCAGACTTGTGCTGCCCAGCACGCCTCACCCCATCTCGCTACCAGTGCTAACTCCTCCTGACCCTTCAGCATCTAGCTCAGTTACCAACTCCATAGGAAGCCCCAGCACAGGCACTTGGGTCGAGCTGTCTTCTGTGCTCCTGATGTCACCTGAGTCTCCTTCGGTCATCCTGTGGTTATATTCTCAACACAGGTACACCTGATTGTCATCACCTCCAAATTCTAAGGAAGCTGATCTCTTTTCACTTGCATCCCAGTGCCTGATATGTTGCTCTGCCTATATCAGGTAGTCAATAACTGCATGATAATTTAAAGAACTGAGGTATAATTAACATACATTATATTAGTTTTAGGTGTACAACATAATGATTTGATATTTGTATATATTGTGAAACAATTGCCACAATAAGTCTAGTGAACATCCATTTCCACGGTCACAGAATTTTTTTCTTGTGATGAGAACTTTTAAGATTTACTTTCTTAGTAACTTTCAAATATTCAGTACAGTATTATGAACTATAGTCACCATGATGTAAATTACATCCCCATGACTAATTTATTTTACAACTGGAAGTTTATACCGTTTGATTCCCTTCACCCATTTTGCCTTCTCCCCACCCCCTGTCTCTGGCAGCTCCCAATCTGTTCTCTGTGTTTGTGAGCGTTCTTTTTTTTTTTTTTAAGATTTATATCATAAAGTATTTGTCTTTCTCTCACTTATTTCACTTAGCATAATGCCCTCAAGATCCATCCATGGTGTTGCAAATGGCAGGATTTCACTCTTTTTTTATGGCTGAGCAACATTCCATTGTATTCCACATCTTCTTTATCCATTCATCTGTAGATGAACACTGAGGTTGTTTCCATTTATTGGCTATTGTAAATAATGACACAGTAACACAGGGGTGCATGTATCTTTTCAAGTTACTGTTCCCGTTTCCTTTGGATAAATACCCAGAAGCAGAATTGCTGGATCATACAGTAATACTATTTTAATTTTTTTGAGGAACCTCCATTGGCTACACCAATTTACATTCCCACCAAGAATGCACATGAGTTCCCTTTTTTCCACAGCCTTGTTATTTCTTGTCTTTTTGATGATAGCCATTCTAACAAGTGTGAGGTGATATCTCACTTTAGTTTTGATTTGAATTTCCCTGATTAGTAATGTTGAATATCTTTTCATGTACCTGTTGGCCATCTGTATATCTTCTTTGGAAAATTGCTTGATAAGTTAATGAGATTGGAAAGCTGTGTAACAAAAACTTTCATGTTATACTTGTGACAGAGACATATGGGTTGGATTCATAGTTAATTGAATAACTCTATCCAGAATTTTGAACAGCAGATGGATACTAACCTAGGAAAGTTCTCTAATTAATATTTTACATAAAATCAGTACTGTTGTCTATGATTTATAGATAGATTGCATATAAGAGGTACAGAAAATATAAACCAGGGAACTGTATACAAAATTATAGTGAAAGATACTACTAATGTAGTTGTGTTTACTCTTGAGGAAAAAATAAGACTACAGTATAGATGTGACCATGATCTGAATGGTTATCAGGTGGAAAAAGAAGCTGATTTGTTTTGTAGTGCATCAGAGGGTAGAAATAGAACTGGAACTACTAGAATTACTGGATAGAAATGCCCTTACTGGTTAGAAGTGCTTCAACGTAAACAAGAGTTTCCTAACATTAGCCTTATGAAGCAATGGGTTGTATGAAGTAGTGAGGTTTCTTCTCACCACAATTATTTAGGCAGAAGCTCACAGGATTCCCGTGTTAGGTGGGAGCTGTGACTAGCTGGTGTCTACAACTTCTCTACTGGCCCCAGTCACTCAGACTCTGAGTGAGGTGCTTAAGGGCAGAGAATGTGTTTTATTCAACACTGTATTTTTAGCACTAGCTTCACATAAGTTCCTATAAAATAGATGGAGGATTTTAGGCCAGAAATTATATATATGAAAATAAAAATTAAGAATATCTTTATTTTTCTTGTGGTATGCGGGCCTCTCACTGTTGTGGCCTCTCCCTTGTGGAGCACAGTCTCCGGACGCGCAGGCTCAGCAGCCATGGCTCACGGGCCCAGCCGCTCCACGGCATGTGGGATCTTCCCGGACCGGGGCACGAACCCGTGTCCCCTGCATCGGCAGGCAGACTCTCAACCACTGTGCCACCAGGGAAGCCCTAAGAATATCTTTTATCATAGTTCCATGTCTTCTCTCTCAAGTCAAAGTCAATTTCAATGCATATTATTACACCAAACTTTTCTTTGTTGCACATTATTAGATTTTTGTCCTTATTTCTTGATTTTGAATGTAAATTTATCTTAAAGTATAAGTTTCCTGTCTATCTAAATTTTGTACATATATACCCCTCAAATATTTTATATTACTTATAGAGGTACTATATAACACTTAAAATTATAAAACAATCTGTATTTATTTATTTTTTTTTTATTTATTTATTTTTTTTGCAGTACGCGGGCCTCTCACTGTTGTGGCCTCTCCGGTTGTGGAGCACAGGCTCCGGACGCACAGGCTCAGTGGCCATGGCTCACGGGCCCAGCTGCTCTGCGGCATATGGGATCCTCCCGGACCAGGGCACGAACCCGTGTCCCCTGCATCGGCAGGCGGACTCTCAACCACTGCGCCACCAGGGAAGCCCTGTATTTATTTTTATTTTATTATTTTCTTCATCTTTCGTGCTTTTGACAGAATTTTTAAAATTCATAAACATTCTGAATGTTAAGTAATTTCCTCTTTTTAGCCTCTGCTAGCCTACTTGTCTCATACTGTAATAAAATGTACCTGTATTCCATTTTCCCATAGCCTAAATCTCCTTATTCAGTGGCCCCTTACATCAGCACATTTATTGGTTTCCACACAACTGATTCAGCATTTTAGCTCATCGAGGTAGGGGCACCATCTAGTGGTGAGAGCGTGTAACTGCTGGTTCTACATTAATTACAGTTGTTTTTTTTCCCCCTAACTTTTTTGGTCTACCAGTTTTAGGTTTTTAAAAAGAAATTAATCAAAAATTTAAAAATATCAAACAAAATGTAAAAATTAATAATAGTAAGAATAACTGTTTACTATCAGTGAGAGAAATGAAATTTGATAATTTTTCACCAAGGGATCTCTAGTCAACTTGACAATTTGAATTGTAAGACAGTTTCCTTTCTTTTTCTTTGTATCTATTGAAGTGGAAACCTCTAATTCACAATTAGAGGTCACCAGGAATAGAAGTATGTGTTTGGTGGTTCTGTCAGAGTTTTTGATAAGCAGATCAAATGCAAACACAGAAATTACAGACAGATTGCTCTTTGTAGATGACTTTAATGCAGATGAACAACTCAATGCTGGAAGCCTGGCTCTTCTATTAGGCGGTGTGTGTGTTTGTGTGTGTGTGTGTGTGTGTGTGTGTGTGTGTGTGTGTGTGTGTGAGTGAATGGGTTCCTGATCCACTCTAGTTACTATGGCTCTGAAAAGTATTTCTTCATGGTCTCCTGCAGAACTTGGACTTAAACAAAACTATCTAATAAAAATGATTTCTTTCTCTGTCAAGAGGAAACGTTCTCAAGGGGAAAGATTTAAGCTATTAGTGATGAGCAGTTTCCACCAGTTTAGCCATTTTAGGAAATATCACTACCTTGTCCTCAACAATGAAAATCCTGACATTTCAGCCTGGAGTGATAGATTCAGGCCAATCAAGACACTGAATACACCACTAAGACACCATCTGAGCAAGCCACAGAAATATCTTTACTGCCAGCACCAATATCACAAAAAAGTATTTTCAATATTATCACTTATTTTAAAACCTCACATGAGTACCTCTTTCCTCAAAAGTCAGCATATGCTCATGTTATGTTTGCCATGAGCAGGGTAGAGAATGACACTTCTCTAATTTGGTTACTTCTATGCCATTAGCAACAAAATTAATTAATTTCATACTAGAAAGCTTATTTTGTATTTTTTTATAGAAAAATTCACCGTACTCTGAAATAACCTAAAACTTTCAATGACTTCATGTCATTATCTGACCAAATTTCATAATAGAAAAGGCACTGGGTAGAACAGATAACCAGTCCAATAAAATTGTTTCTAGGTATTCAGTGTGATGCTTTTTATTTGCATCTTTCTATTTTGGAGGGTAGTATGAGATTATCACAACAGTAGGTACACTTATCTCAGTACAGACAGATTCACATTCTGTATTCTCAGTTAGATCTTATTTACTACTTACATTATGATGTTTTGAGTTGCTCCATTATCATTATTTCGCAAGTATTTTACACTTTAATGACTACTACTGAGCAATGGATTCATTTTTAAAAAATTTTTTATTGGAGTATAGTTGATTTACAAAGTTGTATTAGTTTCTATTGTACAACAAAGTGAATCAGTTATACTGGATTCATTTTTGTGAACTGGGGATAAAGCACCATAATACTAACAATAAATTTAAGAAATGTAAACAATATGCAAATGCCACACAAATATGTCAGCAGCAATAATTAATTGGATCCTGTTAATTGACCTATGTAGTTCTTTTTGTTCAACGACTAACATACTAGCATTTCTCAGAAAATGTGAATTATATGCGAACAAAGTGGTTTCATGGCTTTGTACTCTTCCTAAAACTTCCTGGGGGCCACTTGCTAGATGACTACAGACCATCATAGGTCCAGCGATCATACTTCAATAAATACCAAACTAGAAAGTGTATAGAAGGAAAATTTATCTCTTTTATAATTCTGTTCTTTAATATCTTTTCTAAGAACAAATTCCAATAAAAGGTTCCTCTGTAGACAGCATTTTCTGAATTGATAGAAGGTTGGACTAGATTATCTTTAAGATCTTTTCTAATTCTTGAGATTCTAATATACTATAAATACATCCTTAGTTTATAGAACAGCCAGCAATCAGAACCCAATAATTCCTATTGGAATTGAAACCAGGGTTATGTATAGAATTCTTAAGCATGAATAACTTCACTTATTCACTCAATAAATACTTACTGTGTATCTATAATGTGCCAGGCACTATTCTAGGTATTGGAGATATAGCAACATCTAAATATAGACAAAGTCCCTCCTCTCATGGAGTTTATGTTAGAGAGAAGGAGATGGACAATAAACAAAAATTTACATATCAGTGATATAGGCGCTAAGAAGGAAAATAAAGCAGAACAAAGGAACAGAAGTGTAGAGGGAGGGGACAGGAAGAAGAAGGTTGAAGGAGGCAGAGGGTGATCAGGGAAGGTCTCACTAAGAAGGGAATATCTGAGCACACATCTGGATGAAGTGAGGGAGTGAGTCTTGTGGAAATCTGTAGGAAGAGCATTCCAGGCAGAGGAAAGAGTCAGAACAAAGCACCTGAGGCAGAAGCAGGTTTGGTCTGTTCCAGGAACAGAAAGGAGGCAGGCCGCTGTTGCTGAAGCAGGGTGATGAGATGGGGAAACACTGGAGGGTCTGAGCAGAGGAGTGACATGGTCTGACTTATATTTTCAAAGGATAACTCTGCTTTGTGGAGACTAGACTGTTGGGCAATGAGGGTGTAAGTAGGGAGACCAATTAGAAGGAATCCATGTGAAACACAAGGATGAGTGGCTGGGCCAGGGTGATTCTAGTGGAGGTAGTTTAGTAGAGTGTTGTGGTTAACAGGCAAAAATAACTTCTGAGATAGTCTTGGATGACAGTGACACCTTATGGTTCAAATAAAGTCTTATAAAGTTTTATGACAGAAGACAATCAATGTAAAAGCAAATAATGAAGTTCCTACAGTAGAAAAAGAATGGTAGTATTCTGTAACTCAACAGAAACCAACAAATTCATAGCCAACAAAAAGTGCCCTAAGAATGAGAGGGCCTTCCTCAGAGGAGACTGTCCTATTTACCAGAGGCAGGGATCATCTCCCCCGGGTATGGCTGTGAATGTGAGGTGTGCCCTGAGGTTGGTTCAGCTGTGGAGTTCTTCCAAAGATAATTTAGAAGCTAGGGCAGAGAATGCCTGTTGTGGCTGCAGTGTGAGCTGTAGGCCTGTGTGCTCTCACTCATACTGCATGCCCTGCCTGTGACTGACCCAATGAGGCTGTGCATGAGAAATATGGAATGAGAACACCCCACAAAATAGGAAATTGTGATCATCTTATTTTAAATTCTTACATGATTTGTTTTCTGATTACACACAATCTATTTTTCATTATCATTTCAGTTCTAACTTTGAGGTACTATAGATACATCTTTTTTTGGAAAAGGCTGTTGAAAGTTCTTTTCAGTATTATTTGCAAATGCTAAAGATCAACTGGGTATCAATATTAATGATACAGCAAAAGGTATACCTCATAATGCCAGACAAAATGAGCATATCACTTAAATTTTATATACAAGAGACCTCTTAAGCACTGGACACATATAAGAAGGCAAATAGATAGAAATAATTAATTCAATTTTACTTCCTTCCACTTAAAATAATCATTATAGCCCATTTTGCGTAAAGATCTGAAAGCCTGGACACCAGATAATGACAAAAAGGAGACTTATAGAGTTATATTAAGACAAAAAGGGACTCGGCCTACCGTGGTGATGTAGCGGGAGTGGAATTCTGGAGCATCTTTCAGGAACGTGAGGCCAGGATGTGTATCTACCACATCCTGAAAAAGAGCAAAACCAAACCAAGTTAACAAACATACCCCAAAAAACCTCAAGACACCTACAGAATTTTTTTCCCTCTTGTAGAATACTTGCCAGTTGAGCAAACTCGCTGTTTCAGAATACTGAACAATGTACTTAAAATTTAATTAGTACTTTATTAAATTCAAATATTTCACAAGCATACTTATGTGTGTTTTTGCACAGTATATGTCAATAAAAAGTTAAAATTTTATTTTAATTTAGCTATATTTGGTGATTTATGAATCAAATGTCTTACAGGTACATACTGTAATTCTAACATGCATGATCCCACAGATCTTGGTAGGGATTGCTAAGTGAAATTTACACAGAAAGGATGACAGACACAAGCCCACTAGAACAATTCTTTCTCAAACTACAGACATGGGAAAGTTTTGGGGAAAAAAATAGCCTTGTAGCCAAAGAGCTTTAAATCTATGTTAAGTTGTATGAACCAGCTAATGTTCATCAAAATAACTGTGTTGACAAATTTGTTTTCCAATTTAGGATTTTATTTATTTTAAAATCTGATATTTTATTCTCATGGAAGACTATTAGAATATTAAATCCTTGAAATACTGTTTTTTATTTTCTAATTAGGTTTTAAAAGCACTTTGAATGAGCCTAGAGAACCTAATGGAGATAATTACTGTTAATAACCAGAGGCAACAGCAATGCTAACATAATCTATTAATTGGCTAGTCATGAATGGAGAGACATCAGTTATATCTCTTTCCTTTGTTTCTTCAGAGCAGTTAGCTATTCATACCTACCAATACAGTCTAAAACCAATGTACCTTAATATTTCTTTAAATTTTATTTGGAAATAATTTTAGACTTACAGAAAATTGCAAAAATTTTATAGAGAGATTTCCTACGTCTTTCTCCCAGCTTCCCATAATGATAACAACTTATAAACCATAGTACAATTATCAAAACTAGGAAATGAACATTGATGTAATACTAAACTACAGACCTTATTCAAAAATTTCCAGGGCTTCCCTGGTGGCGCAGTGCTTGAGAGTCCGCCTGCCAATGCAGGAGACGCGGGTTCGTGCCCCGTTTCGGGAAGATCCCACATGCCGCGGAGCGGCTGGGCCCGTGAGCCATGGCCGCTGAGCCTGCGCGTCCGGAGCCTGTGCTCCGCAAATGGGAGAGGCCACAGCAGTGAGAGGCCCGCATAACGCAAGGAAAAAAAAAAAAAAAAAAAAAAAATTTCCAGCTTTTCCCCTAATACGTTTTTTCTGTTCCAGGATCCTAACTGCATTAGTTCTTGTGTCTCATTGGTCTCTCGCAATCTGTGGCAGTTCTTCAGTCTTTCCTTTTATTTCACGATTCTGACACTTTATGAGTTCTGGTTAGTTATTCTGTAGAATGTCTCTCAATGTGGTGTTGTCTGGTATTTTCTCATCATTAAAGTTACACACTTTTAATGGGTATACCACAGAAGTGATGTTGTGTCCTTTTCAGTCTTACAAAGAGTATGTGATGCTGATATGTCTTACAACTTGTGTTAATTTTTGAACACACTTGGTTAAAGTGGTATCTGCTGGGTTGCCACCATAAATTTATTATTACCCCTTAATAAATGATAAATATCATGGGAGAGATACTTTAAGACACTGCTAATTTCCTGTTTCTCTGAAAACGTGTGCCCACAGATTTAAGCAGCCATTGACGGAAACTGACTGTGGCCTTTATATAGTGGTGTTTACCTTATTTGTTTATTAAACATCTTTATTGGAGTATAATTGCTTTACAATGGTGTGTTAGTTTCTGCTTTATAACAAAGTGAATCAGCTATACATAAACATATATCCCCATATCTCTTCCCTCTTGCATCTTCCTCCCACCCTCCCTAACCCACCCCTCTAGGTGGTAACCAAGCACCAAGCTGATCTCCCTGTGCTATGCGGCTGCTTCCCACTAGCCATCTACTTTACATTTGGTAGTATATATAAGTCCATGCCACTCTCTTAATTCATCCCACCTTACACTTCCCCCTCCCCGTGTCCTCAAGTCCATTCTCTATGTCTGAGTCTTTATTCCTGTCCTGCCCCTAGGTTCTTCATAACCATTTTTTTAAAGATTCCATATATATGTGTTAGCATACGGTATTTGTTGTTCTCTTTCCAACTTACTTCAGCCTGTATGACAGACTCTAGGTCCATCCACCTCACTACAAATAACTCAATTTCGTTACTTTTTAAGGCTGAGTAATATTCCATTGTATGTATGTGTCACATCATCTTTATCCATTCAGCTGTTGATGGACACTTAGGTTGCTTCCATGTCCTGGTTATTGTAAATAGAGCTGCAGTGAACATTGTGGTACATGACTGTTTTTGAATTATGGTTTCCTCAGGATATATGCCCAGTAGTGGGATTGCTGGGTCATATGGTAGTCCAATTTTTGGTTTTTGTAAGGAACCTCCATACTGTTCTCCATAGTGGCTGTATCAATTTACATTCCCACCAACAGTGCAAGAGGCTTCCCTTTTCTCCACACCCTATCCAACATTTACTGTTTGTAGATTTTTTGATGAAGGCCATTCTGACTGGTGTGAGGTGACACCTCAGTGTAGTTTTGATTTGCATTTCTCTAATGAGTGATGTTGAGCATTCTTTCATGTGTTTGTTGGCAAGCTGTATATCTTCTTTGGAGAAATGTCTATTTAGGTCTTCTGCCCATTTTTGGATTGGGTTGTTTGTTTTTTTGATATTAAGTTGCATGAGCTGCTTGTAAATTTTGGAGATGAATCTTTTGTCAGTTGCTTCATTTGCAAATATTTTCTCCCACTCTGAGGGTTGTCTTTTTGTCTTGTTTATGGTATCCTTTGCTGTGCAAAAGCTTTTAAGTTTCACTAGGTCCCATTTATTTTTGTTTTTATTTCCATTTCTCTAGGAGGTGGGTCAAAAAGGAACTTGCTGTGATTTATGTCACAGTGTTCTGCCTATGTTTTCCTCTAAGAGTTTTATAGTGTCTGGCTTTACATTTATGTTTTTTTTTTTTTTGCGGTACACGGGCCACTCACTGTTGTGGCCTCTCCCATTGCGGAGCACAGGCTCCGGACGCACAGGTTCAGCGGCCATGGCTCACGGGCCCAGCCACTCCGCAGCATGTGGGATCCTCCTGGACTGGGGCACGAACCTGTGTCCCCTGCATCGGCAGGTGGACTCTCAACCACTACACCACCAGGGAAGCCCCACATTTATGTCTTTAATCCATTTTGAGTTTATTTTTGTGTATGGCATTAGGGAGTGTCCTAATTTCATTCATTTACATGTAGCTGTCCAGTTTTCCCAGGACCACTTACTGAAGAAGCTATCTTTTCTCCATTGTATATTCTTGCCTCCTTTATCAAAAATAAGGTGACAATACGTGAGTGGGTTTGTCTCTGGGCTTTCTATCCTGTTCCATTGACCTGTACTTCTGTTTTTGTGCCAGTATCATACTGTCTTGATTACTGTAGCTTTGTAGTATAGTCTGAAGTCAGGGAGCCTGATTCCTCCAGCTCCGATTTTCTTTCTCAAGATTGCTTTGGCTGTTCGGGGTCTTTTGTGTTTCCATACAAATTGTAAAATTTTTTGTGCTAGTTCTGTGAAAAATGCCATTGGTAGTTTGATAGGGATTGCACTGAATCTGTAGATTGTTTTGGGTATTATAGTCATTTTCACAATGTTGATTCTTCCAATCTAAGAACATGGTATACCTCTCCATCTGTTTCTAGCATCTTTAATTTCTTTCATCAGTGTCTTATAGTTTTCTGCATATAGGTCTTTTGTCTCCTTAGGTAGGTTTATTCCTGGGTATTTTATTCTTTTTGTTGCAATGGTAAATGGGAGTGTTTCCTTAATTTCTCTTTCAAATTTTTCATCATTAGTGTATAGGAATGCAAGAGATTTCTGTGCATTAATTTTGTATCCTGCTACTTTACCAAATTCATTGATTAGCTCTAGTAGTCTTCTGGTAGCATTCTCTATGTATAGTATCATGTCATCTGCAAACAGTGACAGCTTTACTTCTTTTCCAATTTGGATTCCTTTTATTTCTTTTTCTTCTCTGATTGCTGTGGCTAAAACTTCCAAAACTATGTTGAATAACAGTGGTGAGAGTGGGCACCCTTGTCTTTTTCCTGATCTTAGTGGAAATGATTTCAGTTTTTCACCATTGATTATGATGCTGGCTGTGGGTTTGTCATATATGGCCTTCAAAATGTTGAGATAAGTTCCCTCTATGCCTACTTTCTGGAGAGTTTTTTTTATCATAAATGGGTGTTGAATTTTGACGAAAGCTTTTTCTGCCTCTATTGAGATGATCATATGGTTTTTATTCTTCAATTTGTTAATATGGTGTGTCACATTGATTGATGTGCGTATATTGAAGAATTCTTGCATTCCTGGGATAAACCCCACTTGATCATGGTGTATGATCCATTTAATGGGCTGCTGGATTCTGTTTGGTAGTATTTTGTTGAGGATTTTTGCATCTGTGTTCATCAGTGCTATTGGCCTGTAGTTTTCTTTCTTTGTGATATCTCTGTCTGGTTTTGGTATCAGGGCGATGGTGGCCTCATAGAATGAGTTGGGGAGTGTACCTCCCTCTGCTATATTTTGGAAGAGTTTGAGAAGGATAGGTGTTAGTTCATCTCTAAATGTCTGAAAGAATTCACCTGTGAAGCCAATTGGTCCTGTGCTTTTGTTTGTTGGAAGATTTTTAATCACATTTTCAATTTCAGTGCTTGTGACTGGTCTGTTTATATTTTCTATTTCTTCCTGATTCAGTCTTGGCAGGTTGTGCATTTCTAAGAATTTGTCCATTTTTCCAGGTTGTCCATTTTATTGGCATAGAGTTGCTTGTAGTAATCTCTCATGATCTTTTGTATTTCTGCAGTGTCAGTTGTTACTTCTCCTTTTTCATTTCTAATTCTATTGATTTGAGCCTTCTCCCTTTTTTTCTTGATGAGTCTGGCTAATGGTT